ATATATATATATATATTTTTAATATATTTTTTATTTAATAAAATTTTTAGGACTTTTTTACTTTTTTGTTTTTTATTTAATTTCTTCCAAATTTTTAGATTTTGTTATAGAATTAAAAATACATATATATTTTTTTCTTTCAATTTTTAAGTACCTACTATATTTTTCGTTTTTGATTTCATTATTTTCTTTTTATAATTTGATGTTAAGATGTTTAGAAAAAGTATAATTTTTTAATTTTACTTAACTTAGCAGATCTTTCAATTAGTCTTTCGAAAGACAGTAAATAGCTTTCAAGATAGTTGCCAGAATTTACAATTGTCTTACGAAAGGCTTTAGTCGTTGACGTTTTCATACATTTTTCAATTTATAAACCTTTTATAAAGCTACTTTATTTTTTTATGTATAAGGCCATTAGTCTAGAAACTTTTCGTAGGGACAATCTTCTTGTTTCATATCAGATCATATTTTGCTGTGTATGCTATCGGCAGCGGGGTTCTTATACTTATGTATAGATAAGGTTCTGCTGGATATGTTGCATATTTCTACGCAGATTTTTTATTCACTTAGAAATTTGTGGTGATCAAAACTTAGGGTTGCGAGTTTTAAAAACACACCTGTGGGCTTTTTGATGATCTAAATGGATTTCTGAGAATTTCGAATTGCTTTCTATCGACTTCACTTACCGGGAGTTTTAGTTTCGCTGCGCAAGAATCCTTTCAGAGCTTCCAAATGGTCTCCATGACACAAATCTTTTATCTCAGTGGTTTCAGCTCTGAACCTGATAAAAATGTTACGTTCGGAAATTCAAAATAACTTTAACAAATTATTATTCGCATATCAAAAATTAAATCAGAGAGAAAAAAATTCCGCTACCTAGTCTTTGCTGACCATTTGAAGAATCCCCAAATAAATCGAACTTTTATAATTAAATTTGCACTAATTCGAGCGTAAAGCAAAATCATTTTTGTATATTATATTAATGCTTTATCAAAGCCAAAACAATCCACAAGCAACAAATTTCTATTAGACCCATTCAAAGGAGTCCTCCCTACAGAGAATCCAGTAGCTTGACATATTTGATTTTTATTTTCGTCAACGATGCTAGGACTTGTGCGATTTTCAGCTCAAAATAACATTACAAAAACAATATGCTGTGAAGATGACAGCCAAGGCAAATGGAAATTTCAGACTGACGTAACTGGAAGTCGTGCTGCTAACGAGTAGACATTTGTAAAATGAAATTTTAGCAAATATGTAAAAGATTACAAGTACATCGTATTTCCATATATACATACATACATACATGTGCATACGTATAAACATATCATTTGTATACATACATACATACGTAGTAGATACATATGTATATAATTCCATACGTATGATGCCAAGGTTTTATTTTCATCAAAGCAAAACAAGAATTTCCCAAGCCACTGACGTTACGAGCAATTTGCCATCATCGCCAAGGGAGAGTTTAGAATGAAATGGAGTTTGGCTTGATTTGTTGCCGCATACATATGTATGTATGTACATACATACATCTCTATATATACGTCTTTATGTATTCATAAACATCATCAAACTTTCGGAGAAAAATTTTAGTCTGTGGCAATTTATTTTGGTGCTTTGCATTTAAGATAACTTTCCATGACATTTCGACGAAAGCAAAATTAATTCGACACAATTAGAGTTGGTTGACTCGCATGTCAGGCAAATAACGTAGTTAGAGTTTATTCATAAATATTTATGAAAGTTTGCGAAACTACATAGTCTATGTTTGAAAGCTTTCAATTCCGAGCTCGCTTACTACTACATTGCAGCTCAACTAACTGTGTAGTTCATCTTCTATTTTCTCCCACTTTAGAAAATGATATTTTAAATATATTAATCTCCTATACAGTCGGAATGTATGTACTGATGGACAGCGAGCTGTCTTAACTTCATAGCTTAACGCCTTGATTACTGCACAGGAGAGTTTGTCTGACAGTGCTGAGTTAGTACAAAGTTAGGATAGTTCATCGGCAAGGATCCAGTTGAGGTGAAGTGTTCGGGGACCATCGAATTGTTCGCAGTATGAGCTTTAAAAAAAAAACTCAAAATATATTTACCAGATATAAATACATAGATTTGTATTTAGTTAGTACAATCTATGCCACAAAGAGAAATCATAGAAGACTCTTTAAGTATCCAGACGCTACTCGCGCACAAAATCAGAACTCAATACTGATTCCTGCCGTCTTCCAGTCTAGTAATTCTAAGTATGTATTTTGCAATCTGCCTTATCCTGAGTTTCGAAAAAAAAATCAACCGAAAATTTGACATCCGCCCATAGTAAGTACATGGAAACCAAAAGTGCAAAGTGAACCGGTTCGGGGAAAATCAAACTCATGATAAAGCTGAATATGCCAATAGCGCCTTCTTTATGTCACATCAGCTGTTGGCACTGCCGGCCGCCTTATGGTATTTGATTTGTCTTAGATCTCCTGCACCTTCTACAAATTATATACTTTTTGCCTTATCTTGATACGCGTTTTGCATTTTGTTGATACGCGGCTTTATACTTTAAACGGCGATATGCTGCCTATTCCCACGCCACTTACTCAGCTCTGAACAATTGCCATCTTATCCCCCACTCACGTCTCCATTTCTAATGCAACAAATTAAAAGTAGAAAATGGGAGAGCAGAAAACAAAAAGAAACAGGAATTCCCATTTGACAACATAAGTGTATAGTGTGGTATTTTCCAATAATGTAGTTGCTTTTGTTGCTTCTTTGGCCGGCTGGTGTGCTGTTGTCTGTCTGCATCCAATTGGTTTGCATTGTTGCTGTTGTTGTCAGCGACGCAATCAAAGTGAGTGTGCGAAGCAATGTTGCCGTTTTGGTTACTTTTAACCAATTTTGGTTATTTTTTTCTTGCCTGTGAATTTGTTAAGGTCTTTCTCGTGTCGGTTATTTTTTAATATTTACTGTAGTTTTTAATTGGCATAGGCCAGCTACACCTGTCGAGGTTGAGGAGAGTAGCAGCAGTAGTGGCAGCCCCAGCAGTGAAATCAAGTAAGAATATTTGGAATAAATGTATTAATATTACTTACATATGTACATATGTATTTTTTTTATAATATTCAGAATACATAATATATGTAAATGGTCGGCTAAAGACTATTTCAAGTGAATACATACTTAGACAGTACATATATAAATATCTCGTATATGCGGAATCCAATAACACTTCATGTATGTACAATAAAAAAGGCATTTGGTTATTATTTTTCCATTACTGCTTACTTTATTAATTTAAGTTAAGATTAATAATAATAATCTTACAGCAAGTAGGTTCAGTGAAAATACCATTCCACAGTTTTGAAAAAATCGGTTTTTTGTGCTTTTGTAAAATTTATTTACCATCGTATACGCCGTACTACGTTTGACGTATACGAGGTATTTCGCGCTGAGCGACGATATAGTTCAATAAGCCCAATTTCTAATGGTTTAATCTTAATCTTAAAATATATACAATATGGTTGTTCACGCTGATTTGTGATGACCTGAATCTAATAAAAAAACTGGTTATTTTTCCTTACATTTGGTAACTTTTTCGTCTAATCTTGTTAAAAAAAGATATTTGAGCGGCGGCAACACTGGTGCGAAGTGTTTGCGTTGAAATGCACTGTGGCGTTCAAGCAGTGGCTCGCACACACACACATCAGCAGACACGCATACACATGTACGGCGTAACACATTCACTCGATTTCCGGTCAGTTAACCGGATGGCTATTGCTGTCACTGTATTTGTGCGCGCTTAGTGCAGCCACATTTTATTGACAGCTGGCGCGCTGTGCTTTTAATTTCATTTTATTGCATTTTGTTTTCACTTCTAGTTTTTCTTTATTGCATTCTTTACTGGCGTCCCACCTCGACTGCTCCTCGGAGCCACTGTCTGTTGTGTATCTGACAACTAGTTCGTGATTTTCTATATGTTTGTGTCACCTAAAGCACACAGCTTGTTTGTAAATTTTGTTTTTGTGCTGTGTGGTGCTGCGGTTGTTCTGGCCGGTTGTTTTTTGTGTTTCATTCGCCCATTTACAACCACACCTCCACCTGGATTTATCAATTGTGTGCGATCTCTCTTTGGTCTGCCTTGCAATCTGTGTGTAGAAAGACAGAGAGAGGATACATTTAATTACTTGCTCTTTCAGTTGACTGAATTTTGGCCACTGCTTTCGTTGGATTGATTTTTTGGAGAGATTTTTTTAGTAGCAAAAAATGTACACAATTTGGGGAAATTCAATTTTTTAGTTGTAGAGGATAAAGTAGGGAGAAAACTCAATTGACTGGTAGTATCTTTGTCCGGTGGATCAAAAAAGTATTCTATGTTAAAAATAAGCGTTACGGATGGTCCAAACTTTTTTTTGTAGAAGCGGAATTGTTAGAAACTGAATTTCATTTCTGAAACCTCGCATATCAACGCAGGGCCAGTAAAAGTAGCAAACTTCTTATTTAACAAAAGTTTAGATTTCTAGACTCCTAACTAGGATGATTGACTCGGTTTTTCAAAATCGGTTTTTTGTGAAATCTTGATTTTTCGAATATCGAATAAACCGGTTTTTTTTATCGGACAAAACGGTTTTTTCATTTCATACAACTCTTGACCACTCAACAAAAGTTTCAACAAATGTGTTAAAATTATATCCTAGGTTAATTGGGAAGAACAATACATCATTTTGGATTCCAATAAATTATGGTTTATCTTTGTTAATAGTTTTATTGTAATCTTTGGTCATCAACATAAACATTTTCACTGTATGAAAACTATGTAAAATAAAACCGGTTTATGCGGTTTGTTATTAATTTCCAAATCGGTAACCGTTTTTTTACAAATTTGGAATTTTTCGAATAAATAGAAAATCGGTTTTGGAAAAAACCGAATAACCGAACACACTATTCCTAACTAAACTTAAACCCTAAATTTAAATCATTTTCTCTTCTTCTCATTTCAGCAGTTTTATGTGCCCATAGTAAACAATTTGCCCATCACTGAGCACTCGCCGTAAAACATATCAGACAGCTCATTCAAATAATCAAATATTAGATCCTTTACCGATTTTGCCGAGGCTATTTGTACGCCGAGTACGCCGCTGAGTCTTGTCAGCTCATTCCACTTTGAGACACAGTCACCCATCCGAACGCGACTGCTGTATTCGCGTCACCATCATCGCCATCCACAGCATCATTCACAACGTTCGCATACCTCCCACCGTCACCGAGTAAGCGATACTGATAGCCACACATTGACGGCTGTGCTGCCGCGGCGTGCGACGCCATGGTGGAGTCCTCAGCTATCGGCCGGCCTCTGACTGGATGTGTGAATGCACAGCAGCCGGCAACAGCTGCCATCACCGCCGCACAACATTCACCATCCGGCATGCGTTGCGGCACGCTGGAGACGCGCGTGCGGGGCGCCTGGTATCGGGTGCTGGTGACGCTCGAAACCGACTTTCTGGCAATTAGTTTGGACGAGTCTTGCGATGCGGCGGCAATCAGTGTGGATCAATCGACCACACTGAACGGCACTTTGGGGTAAGTACGAGTACATAGATGTGCAATAATAAAAAAAAAAAAATATCCTATTTACATACATAAGTATATTAATATACGAAATGTATGCACTAAAGTTTATTAACATTTGAAAATATCGCAACCACTGCGCGCATTTTGTAATAAAGTGAATTTCTAATTGCATTGTTGTTTATTGTTATCGTTGCACTTTTGCAGCAGCAACCACAGCGGTCATAATGGCTCCATACCTTCATCGGCCTCCATGCAGGGCATGGGCGGCGTTAGTGGCATGGGCGCGGGTAGCGGTGGTGGCGGCAGCGGCACTGATGCAGACTGCACAGATAACGGTGGCGGCGGTGACCACTTGCTGAACAATAATACCATGGACAATGGACTGGATATGTGCGATGTACCTGATCATGTGGCAAATCAAAAGAGACATGTAAGTGCGTGTGTGTCTGTGCGAGCGCTGATATCGTAACATGCGACTGACATGACTCTATCATTCATTTTTGCTTATTTTGCTGGCAGGTACGCATCATTAAATCGGACAACAACGGTCTCGGCATTTCCATTAAGGGCGGTCGCGAAAATCGTATGCCTATACTGATATCGAAAATATTTCGCGGTATGGCAGCGGATCAGGCAAAGGGGCTGTACGTGGGCGATGCCATTTTGTCGGTTAATGGTGAAGAGTTGCGCGAAGCGACTCACGACGAGGCGGTGCGTGCACTGAAACGAGCCGGACGTGTTGTGGATTTGGAAGGTGAGCGAAAAGATAATTTTTTACTACTAGATCTATATGTATGTCTCAAAATGGGGTAACAAGTGATTTTAAAGTGACTTAACTGGCCGGAGTACATCAACAAGATTCCGTTTTTCATTTGACATATGATTAAATCTCCAATTTAGTTAGCACTTTTGGGAAAACTAATGCCTGCTTTCTTCAAAGATTTCGTCCGTGGCCAAGTTGGCCAGCTGCTACTATGGCTCACACAATGTAAAGCTAAGTAATTACCGCTCTTATACATACAGTGACTCAAAGTGCACATGTTAATTTTTTGTTTAATATTCACAATGTTTTTCAAGCTAAAATAAATTTGTTATTTTTTTATAAAAAAAACTAGTAAGGGCAGTCGTTGTCCTGCTACACACCGATACATAGGCAGGTTACATGTATCGTAGATACTATGGTTCTTCACAGCATCACAGCAGGTTCTTTTTACACAAACCAAATTCATTAGAAAAAATTACCGGACACCGAGTTAGCGAATACGGAGCTCTTGTTTTTTACGTTTCATTTGATATCGAAATTTACAAAAGGTTATTATTATTGTTCACTACGTTTGAATAAAAAACGATCCCTGGTTACGGTTCAAACATCAGCCAGGGGAATGGATAGCATTTGTTGCTGTTGATGTGCGGATGTTTATACATATGTATAAATACATAATACATTATTTTGTTGCTATCCTACCTATTTCTCCCCAACATAAACATAAATATGAAGCGTAGCGTAGCCGCGAATAATATTGGAAAACTCCCGCTTCGGATATGGGCAGTTTGTAGTTAACGTAAACGAACATACCGACACGGGATTTTTAAGAACGTCGCGAGAAACATAGAAAAAATTTCGATGGAAAAAAATGTAAATATTTTCTCGGGTTCGAAAGTATTCTATCTTTTAAGTTGGAACCAACAATACACACCTACAACATTTCATTGAATTCGGTTAAGCGGCTTCGGAGATTAGCGTAAACGAACACAGTGACACGGGATTTTTATATATTAAGATTACAGTTTGTGCTAATTAAATCTTTAATAAAAATCATAATTTTACCGTTCAAATTGATTTCCGTTTTACCGGTCAAATTTAGCCGTCATATTATGATTCTCATTTTTCCGATCAAGAATAATCGTTATTTTTGGAATCTAAATTCTTTGATAAATTTATTTATTTATTAACTTCACTATCTATATGAAAAGGAATAACTCAAAAAAAAAATATATGTTGCTGATAGGTGGCACAGGAGTCGGGATATTTGGAAAAATTCTATTGATGATCCGATTTGGTTCACATTTACAACAACAAATTTTGCACTTATGTGGCGCGTGAGCCTATTTAATTAAAAAATCGGCACCAATGCTCCGATTTGGGTTATATTCAGAATACATATACATATGCGTATGACCTACTTAAATCTATTGAAAACCCAAATCATGCCTAGCGACACCAATAAGAGAGGAGGCTTACCTAAAGAATTGAAAATATTTGAAGGAGCTAAAATAATGCTAAGTTCCAATATTGATGTATCCAAAGAACTTGCAAATGGCGCAATAGGAATCATCGCTGAAATTATCTAAATTTTAGACGAGATCAAATGTATGCAGAAGATATGCAACCAATACGTGTAAACATTGGAAATGAAGGCATACATGTAATACAGCCAAAGTCATCACAGCTTCCAGCAAAGTTGAAGAATTGAAAGAATTAGGCAGAATCAGAAATATACTGACATAATAATATTGGTTGCAAAATTTTAAAATACTAAAAAGTAGGAAATAAAAATAATTTTCGATGGGATGTCTGTCAAAGAAACTGTAATTAACTTTACAGTCGACTTTATTTTGAATATGAGTATGGACCAATTACTTTAATCATAAAAAGTTAAATTAAAACAAGTTAGGGAACTTCGTATTCTTCTTAAATAGAGTCGCTATATCTGTAACTTATTTTATACTTTTTAGTTTTTGTGTTTTTTGTAATTTTATGGCGTTTTTGTTTCAATAAAAGCGTGTTTTTAGTTTTTTAAACTATATTTTTTTTCATTTTTATTTCTAAATGATAACATAAATTAAAGTTTTCAACTTTATAAAAAATTTAGACAAATATTAATATTTAGAATATTTTTGGATAAACAGTTTTATAGCCTACAAAATAACACTGCACATACATATGTATGTATCTATAAACATACATATGTACACACATATAGAAATAAATGTGCCGGTGTAGGCATATAGTTAGTACATTCCTGCCGATGTATTTGGCTCGTAATTTTAGCTTGAATTTTCAATCACTTGTGCTTGTTTGTGCATTCGAAACAGGTTTATTGCGTCATTTCAAGTTGCAGCAGTTGCCTGATTGGTGCTTGGTGTGCGCCTCCATCTCCACTCGCTCCCTTCCCACATAAAATCTGCTTATAGCGGCATGAACAGCAACAAATTGCGTACTTTGAGTACTCTACAGCAGGGGTTCCCAAACTTTTTTCACCGCGGCGCCCTTGTTGTGCTAAAAAAAATTTCGCTTCACCTTCCTTTAGCTTTAATGTGAGGACTTAAATTGTTTTGATGATTTCATTATTTCCTTTATGTTTATTGGGAGCTTTGGACCCTGAAATCATTTGACGCTGAAAGCTTGCTGGTGTATTTGTTTTTAACCGACTTCACAAAAAGGAGAAGGTTATCAATTCGTCGGAATATTTTTTTATAATTTTTTTTATGTATGTTACCGCATAACTTTGGACCACGTTCACCGATTACTATAATTCTTTTTTTTTTTTTTTTAAGGAAAGGTGTTACCTCACAGGTGGTCCCATTTTAATTTGGTTTAAATCCGATCGCTGTGGTGTAGTGGTAAGCAGTGCGCGCTTTCACACATCAGCACCTGGGTTCAAGCCCTGGTCAAAGCAACATCCCAAAAAATATAGAAAACGGTTTTTTCTTAACAGCGGTCGTCCCTCGGCAGGCAATGGCAAACCTCCGAGTGTATTTCTGCCATGAAAAAACAGCTTCTCATAAAAATACAATCGCCGTTCGGAGTCGGCGTAAAACTGTGGCGCACGCCACAAGTCGGAGGAGAAGCTCGGCCAAACACTAACATATGTGTAAGCGCCAATCTATTATTATTATTATTAATCCGATCATTGAATCATGAAGAGATTAACGACAATCTTAAATTTTTATATGGGAATTGAAGTCGATTTTGTTTTTTGCTTAAAAATTACTTGTTTATGTAAGCATTTGTTGATAATTTAGTCTCACATAGAAATCTAAAAGTAAAAGTCACTAGTGTTTTTGATACAATCTTGCCAACACATACACTTGCATACACTTGCATCCAGAACTTTCTTGGCTCACTTCGTAGTATTTAATATTCAAAGTGCTACCTTCACTGATGCCCAGAAGGTTTTCAAAAGCTTAATTTGTCATCTCAGTAGGTTTACTTTTCGGGTCACATGAAAACGGGTTTATTACCCAGCTGTAGACATTCTCAGAGTCAATGTTGGGAAAATATTCGACAATGGTTTTTTCTAAACCTTCCAAGTTAACACTGGTAATGCTCGTTAACGCTAAGAAAATAACTTTTACAGCCAATTTCACGAAAGCAATTTAAGTGAAAAATTATTTTAATTTTTTTTAATATTATATGGAAATTGACAGAAAATAAAAAATCATTCTTCATTTAAATTGTTGGTGAAACCGGCTGTTATCAATTTTCTTAGCGTTAACTTTGAAGTTACATATGTACGTTTTTCTGATTAACTTTGTTTATTTATGGGGTTTTCATGCAAATTTTTAGAAATTCTAAAATATACATGTACAGCGTCATCCAATACGGGTTTTAAATCTAGTGACGGCATCTCCCTAGTCGCCAGGGAATACCGACGGATCATACAGTGACTTCTCGTGGCGTTTACTGCCTCTTGCGTCATCCTAGACATCGCTCCTTTCGTTTTTCCAACCACTGCAAATATCCGCACACTTGCTCCATTTCAAACCATTTTTCTATACAAATTTGTCGATAGCTTTAAGAATTTCGACGCTAGTGGTGTAAGTCTCAAGAACTTCGCTCATCAAAAGTTCTTCTTCGATTTGCATTGCGAATGGGTACCTCACTAACATGAGAAGAACATTAAGTCCCACTACGTCGGTACTTTCATCAAGTGGCAAACTAAAAAATTCACAAGTTTTCAATCTTTTTATAGGTTCGTTCTCTACTGCCTCTAAAATCGTGTTGATTTGCTCTTTCGCAATGTGATTGTGAAGTTCCAAAGAATAAGTAACACATACAAGTGCGCTTGTTACGAGAACAGCCCAGCCAGCAAAAAATTTGAAAATTAATCGGAAAACGGAAAGAAAAGTGGATGAAACGCGGACTAGGTCTACAAAAGTACCGAAAATGGTTGTGAAAAGGGTACGTTTTCGGCTATTTTTCTGAAAATTTTCTGATTAAATTTTTCGTTGATAAAACGTACTGGGGAACTACGCTTAAAAGCGAAAGCGACAAGCGGCTTGAGAAACCAAGCGAAATATCCCTTTACTGCAAGCCATTTGTGTTGTGTATGTGGTTTGACGAGCCGCTGAAAGTAATTTTAATAAAAATCATTTTTTTTTTGATTTTCTGACCGCCATGTTGAAGTTTGATCAAACCGCTTGCGTTGTGTATGGAAAGTGTAAAGAATTTGCGGCACCCACATTGGGAAAGGCTGCTCTACAGCACTGTGTGACCCATCATCGCCACTATCCAGCGGCAGAAATCATCGACGTAACTGTGGCTGTGCTGAGTTTAACATCCGTTCCCCGGCGTTTTATTACGTTCGATGGTGCTTGAGTCCAATTCATTCATTCAATGTTGTCAACGGCGTTTGAGTGTTGACATTTACTGCCGTTACGCTAAGTTGCCCGCTGCCAACCTCCACCACCAAAAAGCTGCTGTGTTCAATGTTGCGCCATAGCTTCCGACACTTGTTTCGTCCGTTGCGC